AGTATTCAAAGCATGTTTAACCTTTTTTTTGTTATTTAACAGGGGGGCAATTGGCTTTCATAGCACTGCCCTTTCAGTCAAGAGTTGGTGCCAATTTCTTCTCAGCAGACATAAAAGGTCAATTTACCCTGTTGTTCAGAAAGTATTTTTCTTATTTTTCCTAACAGCTGCTACGTCATTCAACCAGCATTTAGGGAGCAAATTGGACAGCATTTTTCTTTTAGCTGTGCTAACAGTTTGCCTTTGGGGATGGTAGTGTCAGTCGATCAGTTGGTTGGTTTGTTTGTTAGTCCACCATTTCAACAAGCGCTGGAGAGATCGCCCTGAATATTGTGTGTTTGTGATCCCCAGAGGATGAATCTTGCAGACTTGTGTCACCGTGACGTTGTGTGTGAAGAAATACAGACGTCAACGTCTGCATTTCTTCACTGAAACGCCTCAGCAACAACTACTGACCTGAGTGTCATGAAATTTTATACAGATGTTCATGGTCACCGTCAGCTGAACAGATTCTAACATGCTAACATGCTAAAAATGATGAACATTACACCTTCTAAAAAATCAGCATGTCACCATGATGATCTAGCTCTAAGCAATGCCGTGCCTCAGTACAGCCTCGCAGTGCCTCTTGCAGGGCTACAGACTCAGAGTTTACTGTATAAACTCCATGTGCACTGAGAGATAACCACCTGTCTAAAGAATCCAACTCCAACATCTATTAAATAAAACTTTATTCTTTGTTGAATTCAAGACCAAACAACAGATGTGTTGATTATCAACACAACGCTAGAAAACTGGATGACGCTATGTATATTTACACATCTTAACATTATTTTTATTTTGGATAATGCCAGGTTGATATCTTTGCAGTATACATTTGGGATCCGTAGCCTATAAACCAACCATACTGATATGTACACCTGTTTGTACATCTGGTACCTGTTTTCCATGATAAGAGGAGCCGGCAGCAGCTCCAGGCTCATTCAAATGCTATAACAAAAGTAAAACAGGAGCCATGTCCTTTTAATCTTTCCTCACAAGCTAAGCCCAACTGATAATCTAATGCTTCGATGAGCCCAGCAGGGCAGCAGTGTGTGCCCTGTAGCAGCTGGAGTGGTTTGTTTTAACTTTGTGGGTGAAAAAAAAATTAAACCAATTTTAAAGCTGACCCTTTTTTTTTTGGATTTTTTGTTTTTTTGTTTTTTTGTTTTTTGCTGAAAGGCATCAAAACCAACAATCCAATCCAGATAAACTAGATGAGGGGCAGCAGTCAAATTAAACTGGAAGTTCAGCAGCCAAAGCAAAGAGGTCACAGAGGATGTGCATTTGTGCGTTGTGCGTGTCGGTGTAATCTTCAGCGACCCCCTATAGTGAGCTGTCAGACAGTTTCTCATTACCCCAACTTCCTCTTTGCTGCCAGACTGCTGCGAAGTACTTGATATATGTGTCCGACTTTGTTGCATGCCGTTGAACCGTCTGTGTTAGTAAATGAAAGGCAAACACGCTTTCACATGTGCATCTGTAAGTTAAGCAACATGCATAAATCAGCGTATAACACTTCCCACTGTCTGTCCATGCAACATACAATCATTAATGCATGAAAAGTAACAGTCCACATGGCTATGTTTTACTCGTGTGAGTGAAGCCATTTGTAAATATTTTACTTGACATCTCTTTGGAGTTCACATCTCATTCACATGTTTTATATTCATCATCATCAGACGAATCAGTGTAAGCACGGTGGAATCCACGTGTTTTTTTAATTTTTTTATTATTAGAAATATAAATGTGACTGGAAAACGTATCAAAAATACCTCACAAAATGAACACACTTTGGAGGATCTCCTCATGAAAAGTAACAAGTACACATATTTTCTCATTCCCTCTATGCCTGTCTTTCTCCCCATCCTCTCTCTCTCTCTCTCTTCCATGACCCACACACACACACACACACACACACACACACACACACACTCACACAAACACACAAGCACACAAAGCTTGCGCACCATGTTGCTAACTGTCAAGCTGTCTCTGAGCTTCACTGCTGTGACTCGTTTTCCGATCTTCAGTCTTTGAAGTGTCACTGTGCAGATGATGATCATCGGGGAATTGTACTCACATCTCATTACTGACATTATGAATTGAGTGTCGCTTCACTTGTGTGTGTTCATCTGGGTTTCTTGAGCATGTGTGCATTCCTTCATACTCAGATATACTTTTGAAAATTACAGTTGATACATTCTTGTCATTTGTTGTCACGCTGATCATGTTTGAGTAAAGTATTTGCATGGTGCTGCGATTAACATGTTGTCTTTGGCGGGTTGTCCATTGTCCATTTTTAAACAGCAGCAGAAAAGACAACATCACTACATTCTTTGTTTCTTTAGCCAAGATCCAGAAATAATTCATTGTTCACTCAGTGTACAATATATGCAAATATCTGAGCTACATTCTAACCAATTTGTTTGTGTGTTATTGTCATACAAATAAAGTGCTAAATGAAAACGAGCACACAGTGTGCAGCACAGAGCAGGATGTGCTTGTGATGAACATATAATCAGGAAAAATGTTTGTAAAGAAAAATACTCACTTTTATGTGTTGAGTGTGTGGTTTGAGATTTGCTGCAATAATGATAATGAAAAATACCATAATATTTGATATTGTTGGGTCTCATAAGCTGTGTCCCAATTCAGGGGCCGCATAGGAGGGGGCGGTTTATGAAGGTGCGGCTCCTCGTAGCCGCCGTAGACCGCGAAGGCCGAATCAAAATGAGACGGTCTGGTCTACTGAGGATTTCTGCTGTGCGTGACCAGCTCTGCCCGTGCTTACCGTTGTGTCACAAAGTCCTGCTCCTGACGCCTAGCAACCTTGTCATAATGTCACTTTTTTTCCACAAAAACTAACGTTGGACCTTTAGCTGTTCAACTGAGCTGAAGCCCAATACTTACATTTAAAAGTGTTATCCTCGGGCTCTCTGTCGGTGTCTTGGGATAGGTAGGGCCACGAAGGATCCACCTGTTGGAGCCTTCGTTGCCCCGGGAGAGAAGGACGCATTTCATGGCATTTGAAGGAGCCTTCGAAATTGGTCAGCATAGTCGCACTGCCGCAATCAAATGCAGCCTTTGAAGGATGCAGCCCCTGAATTAGGACACAGCTATCGGTTGGGTAACCATGACAATAGGGAAACTGAAGAGTTGTTCCATATTTTGTATTATTTTTAGGTAATACTTAGAGGAAAATGTTAAACTTTCTGTCTGGTATTTATCCAAAGGCTAAAACCCAAAATCTTTCTGAAGAGACCATAAATACCACAAACAACAAGCCAGCTTATCATTTCTCATAAAGTGCAATTGTCACCAAAGCTCTCCCTCGAGATGTAAACAGTGCTCCGCTAAACAGTGTCGCCAGACAAAGCCCACATATTTTTTCCTTGTATTGAGTGATTTGAAGATTGTAAATCTTATGCAAATCTTAATAAAACAAAGTCCTTATTCAGATAACACAATTTTCTCTCCATCCGCTGTTGAGGGTACTCATTGCTATTAGCCTGAGAGGAGGTAATTAAGTTCTCCACTAAAGCATTAGCTGTGAAAGAACAGTGTTCACCGTGCTCTCTGCAATGTGATTACATTTCACCTTTTTCTGCTCTACAAATCTTTGTGAAAAGATGAACAAAATGAAGACACAAAATTTTTATTCCTATTCTAAAAAAAAACATAAAAAAATACTTTTTTTGTTTCCCACATTTTCTTTAAAATGTAGTCATTGTGATTCCCCAGCATAAAGATTCTTTATCATTGCTGGTCAATGGAGGATGTAGCAGGCAGCAATCATTTTCCTTAGGTAATCTGCTTTTTCAGGACTGTGTGGGTGTGATGTGGTTTGATTAGATTTGTTCAGTGACCAAACAACCCACAGATGTCATCAGATTCTTGCAGTTGTTGCGCAGACCTGATCGGTGCACATTTCTATCTACCATCATGTTTTTCTCATGTCAAACCAGTGAGAGGAGCTCAGAAAAGAAAGCAGAAATGCCTTGTTTATAATATCGAAAAATATTGTAGCTTGTGCAGAAAACAGCGTGTTCTTGTAGGATCTCATTACTCGTAGTGAGAAGTTGATTGAAAAGATGTTTTCAGGGCGTTTTAGGCTTGTTGCCTCTTTACCCGTCAATCATGAAGCTGGCCTTCTTGAACCCATCAGAACACCTGCAGCTGCTCTTACATCTCCCCTGGTGTTTCTACCTGTCGCTGGTGACTGGAAAAGAAGTATACCCAAGGTTAAACATGAGGTTAATGTGCAGTGTGAGCTGCCAGGGTAATTTGTTCAGATAGAAGCGTATTGATCGACCTCTGCACTCAACCTTCCATTGAAAGCATTTAGAGGGAAATAAAGGGACGTGCAAATAAAGGGAAGAGGAGAAAGATGTAGAGTAATAAAGTGTACAAGGTTCCATTGTATGAGATTCTGAGATCTCTCTTACCCCTTTTGGAAGCGATCGACCATTTAGTGCTGAATAACCCCCATCAACCATTTAAGCCGCACTGTTTTTTGTTAACTGTTAGCTGACACCACCTCTGCCATTTTTCCTCAACAGCTTGAGACTGTTAGGGTGCTCGTCCAAGAGAGGGGAGATGGGATAAAAAGAAGAAAAGAAAAGAACAAGATGAGAGAGAAAGTGTTTGGGCTGCTAAACACATAGAGGACTTGAGGACAAGTGGGGTGGCATAGGCTTCTAATGGCAGCAGTGTAATAGAGCCTGTCAGTGTGTGTGAGTGCTGATCACTGCATATTAAACCTATAGAGTGAATGGGTGAACTTGGTGAACTTGATGGTGAAGAGCGTCTGAAACGTTCCCTCCCTCTGAGTTGGAACTTCCTAAAGGTGTGTGTAGTCATGTTTTGTGTGTGTGTGTATTTGTCTCACAGTCACTGTTTATGTCCCCTGTGTCAACAACTCCCTCCACCCTCCACCCCCCTTTTCTCTCCACCTCCAGGGAAGCTGGCGCAGAAAACTGGGGCACAGAAGGCTGCCAAACGCTCGCATCAACCACTGTCCACACCAAATGCCTGTGCAGCAGGATATCCACCTACGCCGTGTTAGCGCAGCAAGCTAAAGACCCGGTGAGTCACACCAATGTACTCTGATGTACTCTGTGGGACTTTGGGGGCTAACAAGGCAACTATTACCAGGGGCCAGGTCAGTGAGCTGATGAGTTGCTGTAGTATGAATTTAGCTGGCGTCCCTGTCACTGGGATTTTTCTGTAAAAATACAACAGGCTGCTACAGCTGTCATTTGTTGTCTTTATAGAGAGATATCTATAGGTGGTGCTGGGATGACTGGTGTCTCACTTTTATAACAAGCATCTTTTCTTAGAAGAAAATGGGTGCAGCCTGAACACAGCCGTCAGTGTTCAACCATGTCACAGTATAAGATGCCGTTTTGATCACGGTGTCTTTCACTACACAAATTATATGTTGGTTGGCTGTCACTCTCCACGTTATGGAACTTTTTTTCTTTTCTTTTTTTTTTTTTTGAGCTAAAATTTGATAAAGGTCAGATTGCTCGGCAAGCTACTTCGATGTGATGGGAGAGGGAGGAGGAGACGTCAAGAGAAAGAAACAGATTTTGTTGTGTCTGTGTGTGATTTTGCCTGCAGCACAAACCTGCGCTTCTATAAATAGTTCTTGTGGCTTGCAGTGTGTGTTTGACATGATTAAAGAAGGCTTTTTAGCAGTTCGGGGTAATGCCTGTTCTAATACACTGACCCAATCTCCTCTATTGCGCTAATGGACATCCAAAGACCTGACAGCTCTTAGCTCACCTTCCTCTCAGACCCACCCTCTTCGTGCAACAGACCCTGATTCATTAACTACACTGTATAACATCCCACATCGTCACCCCATTTATTTCACACCTTCCATCTATACCTATACCTACCTAGCCCAATTTCTTATTTATAGCCACTGTCTTGCTCCCTTTTTTTCTTCTTAACCACATTTTTCCACTGATGTGTCGTCTTATCAGTCATTCCTCTCCTCTTCCTCATCACCCTATTTTTGTCAACCTGTCACCTTTTTTTTCACCTCATTAACACTTTCAGTTGTTGTTCTCATTTTGTGCCACAGCTCCTTGACTGCTGTGGTCACAGAATGTTCCCCTTAGCTTTAGCTGTTAATTTGTCTCTCCATGCTTGCTTGCACCTTATACCCACGAGGACAGTGATTACATTAAATAATCAGGGAGTGTAAGGAGATGGAGTTTGGCTAAATTTGTTGTTACACACTAGAATGTATGGGAGGTCCCCACCCCCCCACTCCCCCCACTCTCTTCTCTTAATGGTTAGATTAGAAAAGGGAGCCAGCAAAGCAGATCCCCAGTAAGCACTGGAGAGTAACTCCAGGTGTCACAGAAATGGAAAGTGATTGTGAGGAATGGAGGTTTTTGGGGAGGAAATGTTCAACCAAACAGAAAAGGTCGTCTGGGCTCAGCTGGCAGGGAGAGCAAGAAAAAGAGAGAGAGTGAGAGAGATGAAAAGGAGGAGATGTATGCACTAAGTAGTAATGCAATAACAACCTGAGTGCTGCTGAGATAAAGAGCTGTACACTTTTGTAGACATCTATACCTCAGTAACCTTTTCAGTATAAAACATTGCCTCCATATATATCCTCACTGGAGCTGTGTATTTACCATTTGCCATTTCAAAACACATTACTATTAAAAATGTCTCAATCGTCATGGATTGGGAGACTTTGTCTATGTTTGAAACTGCACATAGCTATTAGTGTTATAGAGTTAGAGTTGCAAATTGGAAGGAAGTGCTCTAGAGGTAGTTTTCCCCCAATCTAAATTCCCATTTCAAGTTTTTTTTTTTTTAAGTCCAGGTACAGTAATGGAATTTTAAGCTCTGTGATTGGATTCCTGCATTGCATTTCCAAGATGCAATGTGGGAATCAATGTTAACTTTGCACTTTCCGTTTTTATATCCACAGGCTCGTACCTTACTTTATATGTTGTATGTATGATATTTATAAATATGATATATATATTTATATATATATTTTTTTTAATCAAAGATCCATTTAGATTCTAATGTAATCGTTTGTCTTTTGAACAAGACTTTCTCATCAACAGCCAAGGGTGCCAAAGAGAGCTCTTCCAACTTTGCAACTCTATTTGAAAATAGGTCACACAGCAGGGATATACATTACCGGAAGGTTTAAAGTTCCAAAATGTTTGAGGTTGCTCCCCGTTGTGCTCAAAGACAATTACCATCATCCTCACTTTTGCCACTGGTCACTTCTAAGTTTAGATGGATCGAGCCAAGTGGCAGTTATCTTGAACTGTTGCTTGGATTAAGCCATCTAATCCATCCAGACTTGGATAAGCCAATTTCACACCTTGCTCGTGTCACTGTTGGTACAACTGAGAAGGTGACACTGACTGGCCCTTTAAATTTTGGATGCCCTGCCCTTTCAAAGGCTCTGAAATAGATAGTCAAATAATCCCTCACAAAATGTAAACCTCTAACAATCAGCTGGCTTGTAAGAGATTTCTATACCATACTGTAGGAGAGATTATTCCCTTCTCCTCTTCCCCTGGATACCCCCTTCATTCTTTTTTATTAAGTGTAAAGAGGGTCAAAATAAGGTGATGGCCTTCAGGTGAGTAAGTGCAGTTATTCATTATTTTGTCCCTCAAAGCCTGAATTACTTCACAGGGGTCTGGAACCTATTACAGAACCTGGAGAAACATTAATTTCCATTATATGGAAAACACCAATGGCTGTGACCTATAAGCTGAACAGGTCATTCCAGCCGCTATTTCTGGTTCCCATGACTCCTCTTCTAACTGAACAATATTGACTTTCCCCTCGTCACACAGTAAGCAGGTCGGCCATGTTGAGTGAAAGAGGACTAGGAGGGAAAACGCATTGACTTTTGTGACATTTGTGACATCTGTGAAGAGTGTGTTAGTCATTAGTGATTCATCATTCAGCCCCCGGTACCACCATTAGATCCAGTGCTGAGGACCGGAAGGTATGGGTCAGAGTTTTTGTGTCAATGGCTCTCAGTCAGAAGCTGCTGTGGCCAATGCTGAGTGCACTTTGTTGCTTTAGGGTGCTCCAGAGTGAGCTTTTTATTCCAGCGGAGATTGGATTCTATAAAAGAGGAAGGGAACGACAGATTGAATTTGGCAACACATTAAAAAAAAAACCCAGACACATCCAGACATGCAAACACAGACAACTATAGGTATGGATGTTTGCACTTAAAAACAAACACACACCCAAGGATGCATGCATATAAATCTGCACACACACACAGACACTCAAACACACACACACACACACACACACACACACACACACACGCACGCACACACACACACACACGCTCTCATATGCTGTGTCCAGGCTGTGTGGCTGTTGGAGCAGAGCTGAGTATCAGCAGCCCAGCTCTGACAGCTTATCCTGGGCCACGGCGCTAGGGACAAGGGGGGTTGAGGATTAACCTCCATGTTTAATAGAAAAGTGAGGGAGGGAAGGGGGGAGAGAAAGAGATGGAGGGATTTAGAGGCAGTGCTGCCATTACAGGCCGTTTACAGTGGAGTGAGGGATAGCCAGTTAATCCTGTTTACTTTCTATAGCCTCTGAGATTTCTGTGTATGTGTATGCGTGTGTGTGTGTGTATTCTGCTGTGCGTCTATAGAGAGACCTTCACTATCAGACACAAGACAGAGGTTGTTACTTTAGAGAAAGAGAGGAGAGAGAAGAGAGAGAGAGAGAAAAAGGACTTGATTGAGTGAGGTTATGAAGCCATACAATAAACCAAGCCACTTAATTCCCAATATGACTGCAGTGGGAACAGAGACCCTACGGATATGTCTGCACTCATTGCCTCCACAGTGCTCATAGGGATCATGGGATTTGGAGTTGAAGGAGGTACTGGCTTTATAAAAGTCAGTTTAACATTTTGTGCCTCCAGTTAATCAAGTGAGTTATACCTCTCGCATCATTTTTTGTCAGCACATAAGGCCGCTGTCCTAGTTGTGTTCAAATTGATTACAGTTTTCAAGTGCCTCTCTCCAACTTGTTTTCAAGGCTACAGTGGGATTCATAGCTTGTGCTTGCCTAAGCAGGTAACCAGAAATGCAAGTGAAAAGGTCAGTGGTTCAAACAGCATTTGAGACCTTGATCCAGTCAGCATAGATGAGCACACAAATAACTACACATGCACAGGCTAGGAGATGAGAAATACCACAGCAGGCGCGGAGAAGTGGGGATGTGTTTGTGCTTCCATAACTTACTTACAAGCCAATTACTGTATCAAGGCAATTTTCTCAAAAGAACAATACATGAATTAATGTCTGTTTCTCCTGTAAAGGATTTCTCACAGTTTCTTTCACCTGCCACACTAACTGCCTTTGGCCCAATCATTCTCATGAAATAAATGGGCCTACTTGAGATGAATTGTGTCTTGTTTCCTCTACTGTCATTAGTGCTCACCGGCACCGAATCCGAATGGAAAATCTCACAGCTGAGTCTATTATTTAGACTATTAATGGCCAAAGTGACTGATTTGACTGGGGAGGGATGATAGGGATTATTATTGAGGCGCCACAAGATGGCAGCTCATTTTTTAATTTATCATAACTGAACAGGAGACAGCACTTAGAAAGAAAACAAGGCCTTCCCTAGATGAACGAAGACTACAAGGTTACGATATGCAAATATCTTGCACTTGTCAACTGTAATTAAAAGATGAGGGTTGCTAAAATTTATGAGGGACTCTGCGTGGAATTGCATTAAAATCTCTGACTCCCTTGTCAGATTAATTGAAGGTTAGTTGGTGACAAGGGAAATGATGACAGAGTAAACAGGTGAAATGATTTGGATATGTTTCTCTGGGTGAAGATGCACAATAGTTCAGCATGGATGTGACGAGAACAGGTTTAATGGCTAATTGGATTTTTGAAAACTGAATAGAAAGTGTTGTTTTGGATGTGGCGACACATACACATACACACACACGCACACACACACACACACACACACTCACACACACATGCACACACAGTCCAAGAATAACAATTTGAGTACCAAGATGGTTTGTAGCCCTG